CCCCAAAACCCCAAAACCCCAAAACCCCAAAACCCCAAGTTTAGGAAAAATTATTGATTTATATTAATCCTTTCCGCATAATACCTCCTTGAATGGTTGTTGTGAACTGGTTTACCTCTGAGTCTAAAATGAATTAGTGAGTTATCCTTACAATGAGTGGCCTAGGCTAAGATTTGCCAAATTTCTTCCATCCTCCATACTATGGTCAGGTTTTTGATAAATATTGCAGGAAGCTAGATAGGTTATTGAGTGAGTTACATTGACGGGAATTGATACTATCCATCTGTTCTTCATCATCATCCAGCACATTTATGGTTGCTTGTAGTGGTTGGAGCTCTTTGAAAGGGTTAAAATCATTATGGCTCCCAAAATACTGAATTTTTGTTCATGACTTTTTCTTCTTCTTTCTCTTTAAAGATGATTGCTCACTAGGAGGTTTAGTTATTATATTAGCTTTCTTTATCTTTTTCGTATTTGGCTCCTATTTTTAGAAGAATCAAAATACTCTATTGGTGTTCATTTCGAGATCTTCTTCGACAATTGGAGTTTCAAAGTGAGTGTATCTGCGGACATTTGGTTGTTCAGGGATCGACTGGCTGATTTGGGTAGAGCCATAGCTCATTATACTCACTCTTTTCGGAGACCCAAGTTTTGATCTGTTCTAGAATTGATAAATTGCTATTTATACCAAAATGCTTATTGATGGTATTTTCTTGCTTGTGTTTGAAACAACAGGTACCCTAAAAGTTACAAATTACAAAGCTACTCTTTCTCACTTGTAAAGTTATTTATGAGCGGATTTAGGCAGGAATTTAATTTTCATTTCTGTAAATTGAGAATCGGGCGATCTTTGTCACTTTCACAGATACTCTAGACATCATTAAATAAAGTAAATTCGTACGTTTTGATCTTCTTGTGAATTTTCCGGAAATTCTGCAATGCTTCCCTCAATGTGGGACTCATGGTCACCTAGTTCAGATGATTTACGATCAGTCTTTTCATCTTCTGGCTTCTTTTTCATATCCTAGGAAATGTTAGTGAGATTGTAGAAAAATACAAGTGCTAAATAAACTTAATTGACATAAATTATTTAAGCATTTTTAGCGATCTATCTAGTATAAATCATAAAACTTTAGTTTCAGAGCAATAAGACCTTTTACCCATTTAACCAAAACTGCATCAAAATAAGTGTATAATATCTCTAAAGAGGGAATCTAAAGTCCCTTAGGGCTAAAACAACGGAGAAAATTTATCTAAAAATTGTTCAAAATTCTCAGTTTTCTAACCTTTAAAGTTAAGACTTTTGCTTTGTCTCCTCGGAGGATGACACATTTGACTCAAATAATGAATCAAGCACATCAGCAGACAACAGCGAGTAGTACTCCTGCTGCGATCAGGATAGGGGCAATGATGTCCATGGCTGATCCATCTTGCGGGATGATTTCTTTATCCTTGTACCCATTTGTTTCACCATCAAGATTTCTGTAGAAAGACATATTCAATATTATTTTACTAATGAGGGGTTTTGGGGTTTTGGGGTTTTGGGGTTTTGGGG